GAGAATGCTGCGCAGGGTCAAATGCTATAACCTGCATGTGCTCCGATCGTCAAATATGAATGTCAAATCCAACGATCCGAGAATGCTGGGCGGGTTAAATATTCAAGTTTCATCCTCCTCTAAAGGACTGGAGTCGACACGACTTGAATAACAAAATGCATCCCAAAATTCTACAAAAATACAAGCGACTAAAAATCACCCCGATGATGGCCGTGTTGACAGAAAATCTCAACCGGAGGGGTTTAATCTCAAATCAAACAAAAGTCTAAATTCTTGAAATAAAATCAATCACCTAAAAAACTCAAAACTAAAAATCATCCACCTTCCTCAACCGTTTGTCGGGGGTGATAAATTTGAAATTAACCTCAGCTCACAAAGAGTAAATGTTGTATCGGGTGTATCACTACGATTCATCCTCAAACAGTCTCTTGCCAACAGGGACGTGGCACGTGCCCTCTGATCCGGTGGTTTTGCCGCAAAATGACACCATTATATTACGGTCATTGCTAAAGCCCGATGGATCATAGCGTATATTCGATAGGCATAAAGCCTCTGTCAGCTAAGGTGGATTCATATATATCCCCTTAGATAAACACCAACCCAGGTCTACAAGGTATTTTTGGACGAAGCAACCCATGGCTGCAGACAAGATGCCTTATGTCAGGTTGGGTCGACTACCTTCTCTGACTAAGTAGACCAGGGTCATGACAGCCCGGGACGACGGAACCATGGGATCTTGATCGGGCTCGTCTTCACTCCCCCCACCACTAGTTTTAAGTTTGTGGTAATAAACTCTAAATTTCAAATCATCCAAATTCAAATTTTAAATCCTAAAATTATTGCTATTATACGATAGGTTCATAACCTATGCGATATCCTTAATGACTAGCCTTAATCGAAAGTTCTCTCTCGTTATCGGGAGGGGTAATTAACTATAGGGGCTTGCGCCTATAGGAATCCAGAACTCTGTTGACCTCTGTTAGAGGGGTAATTAACTATAGGGGCTTGCGCCTATAGGAAACCAGAACTCAGATCATAAAGTCCTCACAAAATGAGGGCGAAATCTCTGGGTAGTGTCTTATCTACAAACCCATCTGCCTTCCAAAATTTACCTCGGAATTTAGTTCGTTAAAACTCCCTCGCCGAATAAGAAAAGCGAGCGGAGGCCGAGGCCGAATTTTCGGAGCCCACAAACTCATATCATAAAGTCCTCACCAAACGAGGGCGAAATCTCTGGGTAGTGTCTTATCTAAAACCCAATCTGCCTTCTGAAAATTTCCCCGGAACCTAATCTCGTTAAAACTCTCTATTATCGTCGTCACACAAACATTTAACAGAAAAATAAACTGATGGCGCAGAGAGGCCGGGATCAAATAAATGGAATTTTTCGGAGCCCACAGCTCCCTATCATTGAATATTTTAATGCAATAAATGTCACGACCCGGCCCGGTGAGCTCGCGTAGGCGAGACGGGAACAGAGGTCAGACGGTGGACTAAACTATCTAATTTCTAAAACTATCACATTATCATTTGAAAGAGCCTCTAAAACATCAAATTTGAAATCACATAAACATAAAATCAAACATATTCATAATTACCTTTCTTTTGGAGCTCCTCTCCTACAATAAACATTGCCACCCCCTCTACTCATTTTTGATTAATTTAAGCTTACCTGAAAAATATGAACAACTAACATTAAGCCGAAGCTCAGTAAGTAAAACACAATTCTAAACTACAGTAATGAATGCAAAATGAAAAATATAATAAATGTCAATTTTATTGAATATAATATAAATTTATTTCTAAAAAAAATGTCATTAACATATACATGAATTCATACATTCATATACTTTCATAATTCATTTCCATATTCATATCATTTTTCATAACTTTCTCTTTTCGTATATATTACAACCGTCACAGGAGTCACCGTTTAGTACCATAAAGGTACTCCTTTGCCATTTTCTTTTCCATATCCTTTATCATTTTAACGTACATAAGTACAGCGCTCCTAGCTAGTACCATCAGGGGGTGAGCTCCATCATTTCAGCATGCACATACAATCATTCAATATAACAAACATTTCATAATCATATCATCTCATTTCATCTTATTTCATATAACATATAAACTTATAATATAATGCCATGATATATATCATAAAAGTTGCTTGATCAATCATAGGATGAAATAATATAATCATGATCTAAAATGGCCATAAAATTTTCATAATCATGGTTGGACTTTTAAAACATAAAATTTGAGAGAAAACAAAAGTATTACTGAAATAAAGAACCATGTATACTTACAAAAGTTATGAAATGATTCTCTACGTTATTCTCCCTTCCTTTGAAATCACCTTAAATAGCACCTACAAGAATTAATTTCCCCTTAAAAATCTACAAAATAAACCAGAATAAAATTCTCCTTCTCATTCTAAATTACTCTAAGTTCTCTCTCTCCCTCTCTCTCTCTAAAAGATCACAAAAAAGCAATTATACATTCTAAAAATTCACAATTTTGTCTAATTATATAATTTAACCAAAATAACCCTTTACCTTAATTCTAATTTAATTTAAATTAAATTATAATTTCGGATTTAACCTAAAACCCTAATTTTGAAAAAAACACATTTTATTGATTCCCTCA